AGCAATGGCTCCTCCTCGTGTTAGCGATCCGCGCACGGATACCATCTAATAACCTCCTCAAGGTGCCATACATGGTTCTTGGACAGGTGACCCAAACCTCATCGTTGCCTTATATCGATCTCCATGGTCATGTAAGGCTATAACTTCCTCATATGCCCAATTGGGGGAAGACGACTCTTTGGCTAGTGACTCACGAATTAAAGAATAATATTCCTCCGGGAAAATACTTATCTATGGCCGACCAACAGTGCTTCAAGAAATCTAACATCCTCCTATTCGGGACAAGCGTGTAATTTTCCAGAATGCACGCCTGAGCCGGGATAGGACCTAATCTAATTGTTCTTCAGGGAACCTAACCATTTATCTGGAAATTCAATCATTTTTCCAGAACCTCAGCTTCGTTCGGGCTAGATCCGTACTCTTCTGGGATGCACGGCAAGGTCGGGATGAGCCTTTTCAATTGTTTCTCTGGAAACCCCATTTTTGCCTCAACTAGACATGTACTCTTACGGGAGGCACGGCAGGGTCGAGGTAAACCATTTTAATGTGGCTCTGAACCAGCCAAAACCATAGGATATCGAACGAGCTTTAATTATCCTGCAGGAACATCAAAAGGGTTGATTCCCTCACTCATTTCCAATAAGTCGAGAAGTCGGGGGCAATTGTTGGATCCACTTTTACCACATTCAATCATGGGTCCATATGTCAGCAGTAGACTCAGTCCCAAAGTTGACTTCTTCACCTAGGCCTGCAAACGGTTCCCTAGTAGACCGTACACTGGCAGTTGACGAGCTTCCAAATTTGAAGGCGTGCTGTATCAGCCCACCTGCTCCCGTCGTGGCCCTCATCGATGGGAGAGTTCATGAGGAAAGGTGTATAAAAAGGGAGTTAAGATCAAAGATGGAGGAGATCTGAGATCTATGATCCAAGAGAGGATATCAGTCGAATGGCCACATGCAAGACTTAAGAATAGTTGTAGAGAGGAGGAGTAGAGACCGTCGATCTCAAACTCACCAGAGCTCGCCTCGGCCCCGGTCATGCAGCAGGACTGAAGGGCGTACGCTCGTTGTCCCCTCGGAAGGAATGCCAGCCGAGATAAGCCTTCTTTTTCCCACATATCCCTTCTTTACCCCTATATAGAGAGAATCCTTACCGCACTCTCTTCATGGTCCACCTATTATGCTTCCACCCTTACCAAACATTAGACGGATATTACGATCCTTAGACAGGGTATCCAAACCATAGACACCTTCACATATCTACTATTCTGAATTTCTGTTCCCAATAGAACATAAATTGACTTGAACTTCGGAAAATTTTCGGGAGAGAAACCCTTTTCTAATTCTCTCGAAGACCTGATTTACTTATTTGTCATTGTATGTTGGACCTAATCAGACTTTTGTTATAAGGCTATATAATGTCAATCCCTTAAAAGATAAAACTTGGAAATCCAATTTCGTTACCTGAACAATCACACACCATCTATAAGTATTTTGAAATTTCTCCCAAACAATAGCAGCCTAAAAAGAAACTTTATTCTACTTTTTTATATATATATTCATTAACTAATGATATATTTTTTTGAACAAGTTATTATTTAGAAAAAATAGAATTAAGGTTTTGAAAAATAAATGAGAAAAAATATCCTCAAAACCGACTCAAACCAAATTACATATTTTAGAAGTCCAAAATAAATTAAAACATACTTATGTAAAATAAAAATTTTGAATATTGGTGAATTTTGCTAAACCTAATAGAACAGATTTTTTTAAAAAAAAAAACAAACCAAGCGATAAAATGAAATATTCTTTTCTATGATAAGATTAAAAATTTTATAATAAGAATTCGAAGACGCTTAATAACAGGTTATGCTAAAAACTGTTTATTTAGCATAGATCTAAATGATTTTAAGTCATAACAACAATGATTAGTTTTTCATAATTAATTTCAAGTAATGTTTTTTTGTTTTAATAATAATTATAGTTTATCATAATAATTAGCCTATGTAATGTAGGCTACAAAATCATCTCAAAGGTACTATGTCAAAGACTACGCAGACTCCTACCTAGATTAGTTTCTGAAACGCAATCGGCTTTTGTAGCAGGACGTCTAATCTCGGACAATATTTTAATTGCCCAAGAGATGTTTCATGGCCTACGCACGAATAAGTCATGCAAAAGTAATTATATGGCAGTTAAGACGGATATGAGCAAGGCCTATGATCGTATTGAATGGCCTTTCATAGAACACCTGCTTCGAAAAATGGGTTTCTCGGAAAAAAATGGATTACATGGATAATGTGGAGTATACAATCGGTGCAATACAGGGTATTGATTAATGGCCATGCTAGGGGACATATTGTACCCAAACGAGGTTTAAGACAGGGAGACCCTTATCACCTTACTTGTTTATTCTCTGTACAGAGGTTTTAATAGCGAATCTGAGGAAAGCACAACGGATGAAACTTCTTACAGGCATGAAGGTAGCACGTGCATGTCCACCAATTACACAACTATTTTTTGCAGATGATAGCTTATTTTTCTGTAAGGTTACTAAGGAAGAGACAGAGGTACTCCTTAGTGTTCTCAAACAATATGAGGCAGTATCAGGACAGCAGATTAATTTTACCAAATCTTCGGTCCAGTTTGGCCACACAGTTAACCCAATAAATAAGGAGATGGTCCAACATACTTTGGGGATTACGAATATTGGGGGGATGGGCAATTATTTAGGGATACCGGAGAGCTTGGATGGTGCTAAGACAAAAATTTTCGGCTATATAGTTAATCGACAACAAAAACGGATAAATGGGTGGACTTCAAGATTACTCTCAAAGGCAGGGAAAGAGATTATAATCAAATCAGTTGCTACAGCAGCACCGACATATGCTATGTCATGTTTTCGGCTACCGAAAACGATCACAAAAAAACTGACAAGCATGGTAGCCCATTTCTGGTGGATTACGAATGGACAAACTAAGGGTATGCATTGGTTGGCATGGAAAAAATTATGCAAACATAAAATGGATGGAGGACTGGGCTTTAGGATAATCGAGGATTTTAACACGGCTTTATTGGCCAAACAGCTCTGGAGACTTATTGATCATCCTGAGTCGCTGTTTGCCAAAGTGTTCAAAGGACGGTATTATCGAAATGGAGGACCTTTAGATCCTATACGCTCTTATTCTGCCTCTTATGGTTGGCAGAGCATTATCTCAGCTCGATCTCTGGTTAAAAAAGGACTTATTAAAAGAGTCGGAACCAGAAACTCCATCTCTGTATGGAATGACCCGTGGCTCCCGGCTACTTGCCCGAGACCAGCAACATGGAACATCCCGTTGATTAAACAGTTCATTGTCCCAGAGGATATTCCATACATTATGGAAATTCCAACAACAACGGCAAATAGACCAGATTCACAAATATGGTACTACACAAAAAAGGGAAAATATTCGGTGAAGTCGGGGTATAATCTTCAACAGGAGATACAAAATAATAGCCCACTGCAGAGATTCTATGGACCAGACATAACTAAATTACAAGGCTATGCATGGAATGTTAAATGCCCCTCTAAGATGAAACACTTCCTCTGGCAACTCCTTTCCGGCTGCATATCGGTCTTTGACAGGTTAAACAACCGAGGAATGAATTGTGATCCACAATGTGGTAGATGTGGGGTAGAAAGGGAAACCATTAATCATACCCTTTTTGAATGCCCACCGGCTTTCCAGGTTTGGGCACTTTCGGTAATACTGACACCAGCAATGGAATTCCCAACAACAGCGTTATATACAAATATTGCTCACCTTTTTTGGCAATTACCCAATTCAGAGGATATGGATGTATTCCCATGGTTACTATGGTATATTTGTAAAGCAAGGAATGATAAAATATATTCTAACATTGACAGAGATCCTAGGGAAGTTCTAAAAACAGCTCAAGCAGAATCGGCAGCTTGGTTTTTAGCTTAACAGGAAAATGATCACGGTGAAGACATAAGTATTTCGGATGCTTATATAGGCACTACAGGAACGGTGCCGATGGTGAATGATGGATTAACATGTCAAATGGATGGATCATGGAAGGCGACAAAGGATAGTGCCGGATTAGGATGGTATTGTCAAGGTTTAACAACCGAAACAACGTTGATGGGGGCAAAAAAGGTACGGCGAAGCCTTTCCCCACTACACACAGAGCTAGAAGCCTTAATTTGGGCGATGCACAGCATGCTCGACGTTGGAAGGCTAGTGATGGCTTTCGCTACAGACTGTTCCGAACTGGTGAAGATGGTGTCTAAACCCGAGGAATGGCCGGCCTTTGCTTTACACTTGGAGGAATTTGAGAACAGCAAGAACGAGTTCACCTCTTTCTCAATCTCGTATATCCCACGCGCTCAAAACACAAAGGCAGACAAGCTTGCACAGAGTGCCCGCGACTACCTTTACTCATTACACTATGTAAACTCGACTCCACCGGCTTGGATCCCTGAACCGTTATGAGAGAAGAGGCTGTTGATAAAAAAAAAAAAAAAAAAAAAAAAAAAAAACCAATTATAATACGTTAGTGTACAGTAATATAACATATACATATTTTAATAAGATGTTATATTCAAGAAAACTGTAGGATTTAATAAAAATAACATTTAAAATATGATTCGTTTTGTAAGGTAACTTGAGTATTACTAGATGAGTTGGCCAAAACTCTTAGGATATAAACATAGATGATAGATCTCTTTAGTATTAGCTCTCGTTTGATCAAACATTTTAATTGATTTACAAATCTATGTAGTACTTGCAAGTTCTTGTCAAATTCATTGATTTAGAATTAAACACACGTGAAATTTAAACGGATTACTAAATAATAGCTAAAACTCACATATTATACATATTTGTGACACCCTCATCGTCTTAGTACATTTGCATATGCAATCACCAATCTACTGTCTCAAACAATACTTTAATGTAAAATAATTTTAATGTAAGTTAAATGTGAATAAGCAGAGTCGTAGAGAGTGTGGGTGAAAACGTGAAGGAATTGGTCGAAGGAGACACTGTACTGCCGACTTTCATGCCGGACTGCGGCAACTGTATTGATTGCAAGTCTCATAAAAGCAACTTATGCAGCAAGTTTCCCTTCAAAGTATCACCGTGGATGCCAAGATACGAAAACTCTAGCAGATTCACTGACCTCAACGGCAACACTCTATTTCATTTCTTAAATGTCTCTAGTTTCAGTGAATACACTGTTCTTGATGTCGCAAACGTCGTTAAGATCGATTCTTCTATTCCTCCTAGTCGTGCTTGCCTCCTCAGCTGCGGAGTCTCGACTGGTAAGTCAATCACATTGTAAGAAAGATTTGCTACCTCTTTGATTTCTAATGAAATGCATTTATTTTGCCTCAGGTGTTGGTGCTGCTTGGGAGACCGCCAAAGTTGAACAAGGATCCACTGTTGTGATATTTGGACTTGGTTCGATTGGTCTAGCGGTAAAGTCTCCACTTCTAGTAATAAGTTGTTTTGATCTTTTAAATGCTGAAATTGGTTAAGGTTTGTACATTTCTAGGTTGCAGAGGGTGCAAGACTTTGTGGTGCCTCTCGGATCATTGGTGTGGATATAAACCCTGAAAAATTCCAAGTTGGTTAGTGACTTTCTTTACTCAATAACTATCTTGCTTTGTCCCAAAAAAAAAATGCTATCTTGCTTACGTCTTTGTTATAATTTTTTTAATTGTAAACTAATCCTATAACATTGTTCTATAATTCATCTTTTTGTAGGCAAAAATTTTGGAATAACTGAGTTTGTAAACTCGATGACATGTAAAAACAAGCGAGTGAGCGAGGTAATGACACTTACAGTTATGTTAATGGAATTTGATAATCATCTTAATATTATATCTCTTTGTGTTTAGGTAATCAATGAGATGACTAGTGGGGGAGCAGATTATTGCTTCGAGTGTGTTGGAAGCAGTTCTTTGGTTCAAGAAGCCTATGCTTGCTGCAGACAGGTATGGTTGCACTGATCTATATCTAAAACCAAAGTAGAAGATTGAAGGAATTTTTGTTTTTGTTGCTATCATCAACGTTTAGGGATGGGGAAAGACGATAACTTTAGGGGTGGACAAGCCGGGTTCACAAATCTGTTTAGACTCGTTAGATGTTCTTCACCATGGGAAGACTCTGATGGGCTCGTTGTTTGGAGGGTTGAAGGCTAAAACACACATACCTCTTCTTCTTAAACGCTACTTGAGCAAGGAGCTTGAGTTGGATAAATTTGTGACACACGAGATGAAATTCGAGGACATCAACGATGCGTTCCAGCTACTCGTTGAAGGGAAATGCATCAGGTGTGTGCTGTGGATGGGCTAAGTTAGTTGTCTTTTTGTTTTATCTCGTCACCTTTTGCATTAATTTCAAACTTTACATTCAACTCTTTTTCATGGTTTGCATCAAAATAACGCCCAAAGAACGAATATAAGCAAATGTCATTGAGCATTCAAAAAACGATGTTCTAATGTTTTATAATAAAGGGAGGAGAAAAGGTCTATTCCTTTTGTGCTATTATAGCTTATGATATCATCATGAACTATACCATATCTAAGGCACAAGAAAAATAGCAAAAAATATTACAAAAGCCAAAGACATATAAATTCTTGTGTCGGAAAAAGCCATAAATCAGCTGATACAATATAGGTTTGTAAAATAAAAGTATTGCTAATTTTCCAAAAACAACTCTTAAAACAAATAAAGTGAAGTGAAGACTGAAGCAACAACATCATGTAGGTATCAAATTTTATACTATGGGAAAATCTGATATGTGAAACAAAATTACAAATTACAAGAATTAAAATATTAAATTATAATACCATAATTGGGACAAAAATGAATTGAAGCAGAGCTGAGATACGATCTCTCTCTTTAATTCTTTAAACGTCGGTAGTGTGCGGGTTTGACTACGTTCAAGAATCGCATGATAAAACTACTTTTCCGACTATACTGAAGCACTCGAGAATAAAAGCGATTCTACGTGTACTCTCAGACACACCAAAAAAAAAAGAAGCGGCAGATTATTGTTTATTTTCTATGTATATGAGAGGAAGGAGACTTCGGTTTTGTATTTCTACTTCACCAATGTTAACGTTGGTGATATAAGTGGAGAAATGGCGTTATTATGTGCATTAAGCTTTTGTAAGTTACAAAAAATCACACTGATTTTATACTTAATTGCCACAAAATCACATTGATTTTATATTTAATTGCCACAATACCAACATCAATGGGGGAGATATTTTTTTGACTTTATTAACAATAATATTCAAAAGAATTTATTCCAAAATAGTAATCTTTTGATCCGTTGGCCCATTAGTCAAATCTCAAAGTCCAAAACCTAAGTCTGACTCGAGTATATCCTCTTTACAATACATTTTCTTCACTTTAATTATAAGAAGAATTTAATCTCTAATTTCCAGATGGGATATTTTATAAATGCTATATTTTAAATTTTACAAGCAGTCTAATATGGATTTCATTTCTCATTCAAACCAATTCTAATTTTGATATATGATTACATTACTTTATAATGCTCACGGCTACGATTTCATAGTGCCCAACATCCGGTCATTCTGACAAACGTCTTCATCGGAAACTCACTGGAAATGGTCTAAAAACATTTTGTCAAAAACGAGTTCCAATAGTCCCCCACATGAATAGAAATGAAGACACATAAAGGACTCGATGACTTGAAAGACTTGACTTCCTTGACAAGACTCAACAAGACTTGTAATGAGTTTTGAGAGTACAACGAAAAATCCATTGCATTTGAGTTGGTAGCATTTTTGAGCCTTGAACTAGTCATTGTAATAACTATCGGATTTACTCGAGCAGGAGGTGAACATGATGTCTTGAACCCGCCGGTCTTTGATGTAAACCGAGATAATAGGTATAACACAGCTTCATTTTCTCATAGAACTAGTCTCTCTATTGTGTCCATTTTGGCCATGAACTTGCCTGGTAATCATGAGTGAACATGGAAAATATAGTCTTTCCTTCATTCTCCTCGAAACTGCCGCATTTCACACTCACAATGTGATTTGCCACTAGATTTGTTTAAAGTAGCATCCTGTAATACTCCATGTATATCTCAAAGCTATGGACTCAAATCATTAAAAGCAAATGCTTATCCTTTTCACATACAGGTAGCACTGGTAATCATCCTAGAAACTGGGCAAAGACATAAGTCTTCCAGTGCTCTTATTAGATTCCACTTGAATTTGTTTTTCCTTTGAACTTAGATCTTGGGATCTCCAATCACATAGATAGGGTTACCATCAAGCATTCTAAATTCATAGGCTTTAAACCCGTTTTCTTTGATGATTTACAATTTAATCTCATGACACACCTTCAAATTGGATCCTAAGTTGTCATATGATCGGACATAATCTAATTAGATTACTTCATTTGAGATCAATTGGTTAAATGATTTTATGTCAGCTTTATAAAAACTCAGTGCCGAGCTATAGTCGATTGAATATCATGTTGACACATATGCTCGCACTAGTTTTTCCCACATCTTAAAATCTTCCGCCAAGTTCAGAAACCCTTAGCTTCCTTAGATTTCTATAAAGCTGTGAACTTAGGTTTTTAATCTGTGTCACAAAATTTATTTGGAAGAGTTCAATAATGTTAATTTAACTGTCAAGCATAAAGACAAATCCACTCATGTACTTCTAGTTTCAGGAATCAGTTTACCAATTAATATAATTATATCTGTCCAAACTATATGTTCTTTACCATAAAGCAGGTCGTAACATTTTTGGTCCTATTGTGACCTTTACTGAAGATGGCACTGGCACTGTAACTTTTTTCAGACACCTCCACACTTGTAGGTATTTGTATTGATGTGCTTACCTTTTTCAAAGTTCATATGGTATCGTGTTAATGATTTTATGTGGTAAGTAATGCTTCCCCCAAATTTCCTTAGATTACTCAGAATTATGCATCTTTGCATTCAGAGTCTTATTAAAAGTGCAGAAATGTCTGTAACTCTATTAGATTCAAGTGAATTTGGAGCAGCTTTTCTAATGAATAATGCCATGTTCTCTAAGAACGCATTTAATTCTCGTCAAACTTGCCTCCATTTTTATATACAACTATTTTCATAGTTTCTCAAGTTGCATTTAACAAGTATACACATCTATCACAACAGATTGCAATGGAGGTCGCAGCATAATGCAACAATCCCATTCGATTATTTTCAACCACATAGACTTCAGAAACTACACTACAGGTGTCAACTTCAGTCAGATTGGTCTGAGATATCTCATTTTTCTACAAAATTTGTTAGCATTGCTACGAAATGTGTTAGCCTTTTAACCCATCCTGCCACACCTTGCAATACTTTCCATTGAACTTCTATGAAGCATTTCACTTTCTGAAGCTAGTGGAGGTTTTGAGAGGAATCTCAAGTATCCCCTTGTTCTTGTGCCCAACCACTATTGCATTATGTTCAAAAATATGAAATCATATGCTTTATGATTTAGAGATTCAATCCACTGTCTGACCATCAAGTCATTGAGGCTCACATTCTTTCGCTTATGACATAGATAATTATTGAAAAAACTTCCAAACTAATGAAAAATTCTCAGTCTCACAATATGCCTGGTATGTCAAAGAAATTGACATCTTTTTGGCTATTATCTCATGTATAAGGAATCATAGTTTGTCGACTTATCTAAGATGAACTTAGAGGCCACCAATTTAAGTCTAATAATTTCACCAATGCGAATTTCTTAGAACATATGTTCTTAGACTTGTATTTCTTCTCACAGAAACTCAAAATCCCATAGAAGTATTTAATTCATTGTAGACTTATGCATTGGTTTGTACAAATAGATTTTATCCAACATTGGATAGAACAGTCTCAATGATAGAAGATTCAATACTGACTAGAGTTCATAGTAATCTCAAGAGAAAGCATGTGCTATTCTCCTTTAGTTACTTCTCCAGATTCAGCATGTCAAGGTAGATAAACATCTTCTCCTCACATATAATAAATCTAGTTTCATTGAACTTATCTTACATTAGTCATATGTTTACAGCACTAGGCGCTAACATGACAATCTGATAAACATCAGAACTTGGCACAATCACATGTGGCAGACTGCTACCAAACTAAATTTGGTGCATCGACTCACTAGATTTATATCCATCAAACCTCCACTGCAATTGGTAAGACTAGAATTTGGATATTCAGATAAACATCAGAATTCCAATCCGTAAAAGACACAAGATCATAGGTGACAGACCATTCCCAATTTGGGATGTCTACTCACCATACTATTTTTAAAGAACAAACCAGAAACATAAATATATGTTGTATTTACATTGTTTGATTTTAGACTGCCAAAATTAAATTAGTATACTAACAAAAAAATAGAAGTTCAATCGAAAAATAATAATTTAAACAGATATGAATAAATTATTTAATTAAAAATTTAGGAAATGATTAAATTTCAAAAATTGACAATTTAATCAATATAGACATAAATTAATACAATTTAAACAAATTGCAATAAATAAATCTTTTGATTTTGTTGGAATCATATTGTTTTATATTGAATTCAAATAATTTGAATACAAAATATGATTTATCCAGTTCGGTGGAAACATTGTACCTTAATCAACCACAAAGTTAAGAGAGCCATGTCTAGCTAAACAATGGACAGCCTCATTACATATTCTTCGTACATGAGTGAAAGTTATATTTTTAAATTTAGACATCCACATCCGGTTGTCATCTAGAAGATTACTAATAGTGATATCCTGATCATCATTTTGTATTAACTCCACCAAAATCTTACAATCTCCTTCAAAACAGATGTGATCAAAACCCATACTCCATGTATTCTGTAATGTCGCTAATAAGGCTTTCTCTTCTGCCTCCAAACATGAAGATGTGTAACCTGTATTTATAGATCCCCAATACGGGCATGTTCCCTTAGAGTTTCGTACTATCCATCCCGCACCAGAAGTATTATTTTGGCTGTTGAAAGCAGCATCATAATTACATTTCAGATAACCAGGAAGAGGTCGACGCATTGTGTACTTTCTGTATTGGTAATAATGTTGGTGGAAGTCGTACTTGTAATTTTCACCCATTCCGCAACATCTGCAATTGCGTTGTTTACATCTTTCCCAATTCGAATATTTTTATTTTGGAAGATAAGATTATTGCGTGATTTTCAAATTTGCCAAAGAATCCAAAAGGGCAGTAGCATTACGTCATGAGGTATATCTGTTCTTGCTTGGGCGTATAGTAGTAGCCTAATAGTATCTTTGGTATCGTGAGCTTGAATAGTGAGAAAATTGAA